TATTTTCAACCGATTCCGTGCGTGGCAGAGATGCAAGGGACTAGCCGATATGGTCTGGGGGCCGGCTGGTCTCTCCCCTGATGCTTCGGCTAGAACATTTTCTTGCGTAATTCGTACACCCAAGGGCAGAAGGATTTAATCGCCGTCAGGTCCGAAGTCCATACGACGCCCCAGCTCTGCGGATGTCTCGGGGGTATGGCAAAGTGGAGTCGTATTTTTGGAATTTCTTTTGGGTGGTTCGAATCCCATCGCATCCACATAAGATTTTTCTTTTTTTTTTTTTTTTAATTCCATTTTTTATTATATTAAAATCTTCAACAATAAGCTAATGCAATCTTTTTAGTGAAAAAAGAAAGATTTATTCCTAGTCGGTTGGTTATAAGCCTGTATAAGTTCGATCACACGTTATTAGTCATATAAGCAATATCGATCCGCGAAAAGTAGAGCAATGCTTTCCTATCTTTCTTGGCAAAGTCTGCTGACAAGAACATTTACTGCACTTGGATATGCCCGCAAAGGACTAGTGGATGGTGCCGTGAAGACTTATGTGTACTATTGCTCAATTTCTGCATTTTATGACAAGGAAAATAAACAGCTACCCCAGTAAATAATATAATAACAAAGGATGGTAAAAAGATAAGAATATTAATAGGTAATTCTGACTGAGAAAATTGGGGTATTTGATCTTGCTGCGTCATGCCGCAAGATCAAATTCACAAGTAGTCAGTGTGACATGCATAACGCAAAACTGTTTATTTCATAGCCCAATGGCAGAACCTGCAATTATTTTAATTTTATGTAGAGAACGCCTTAAGGTAGCAAATCGTCTGAGACGAGTTAAAGGAAATCATTCTTATCTATGAAACATTCCTTTATCTTTTGACTAACATTGCAAACTTCTTCAGCTGTACTAGGCCTCTGTGCATGATACGGGCAGCCCAGTGAACGCCTATACGTGCGTCTTGTTTACCATTAGCAATAGAATTTTTAATTCAATCGCAAGGACTGGTTTAATGATAAGCACCCCGGTTTAGTCGCAGGACTTATGAGGGGCAGAATTGAAAACTTCATATCGAGAGACTTAACAAACTATTATAAAGTTGCAGCAATTATGCATTGTTTTTTCCTTAAAATAAGTTTCAAGCTCGTGTACTTTTGACACTGGTCTTTTTACTCAACGTACAGTGCGACTATGCCAACTAGGCCACCCAAACAAATTTGCATGTATTAACCAATCATGGTGAACTATTTAATTAACAGAATCTACACAAATTTTCACAAATTTCTCTAAATTTTGCATGCGTATGATCAGGGGTGAACAAGAGCTAGTTTAAACTCCAGAATTTGTCACCATCGTATTATATTCAGCGTGAAAATAAGAGTTGAGAATTTCAATTAACATTTGTAGTCGCACTGTAATAAGTCGCGAACAAGTCTTAGATCCAGTATTGTGCAGAAAAGGGCCGTTCCATGCACGACTTTCAAAAATGGCCGCCAAACTCGGTTGGGACTAGGGACAATTGAATGGAAGCGAGGTAAGTAAGGCCTCATTAGTAAACAAAGTCTACTCAATACGATATTTTGTGTCAAGGTCATTCATTTCACCAATTCGAGTTCTTTTAAGAGTCTTTTGAAGTAAGGGTGAATGACTTTGACAGGAAATATCGTACTGACTTTGTTTACTAATGAGGCCTTACTTACCTCGCTTCCTTTCAATTGTCCCTAGTCCCAACCGAGTTTGGCGGCCATCTTTGAAAGTCGGTTATACGTCGCTCTACTCATGTGCTGAACCTAAAAGCCCCTTTTCTCATTCAGTAATTTAAATACTGCTGTGTTTTGTGACTAAAGACCTATTTGCATAAGCATAGCCTCGCTTAAGATCAAATCATTTGCACAAGTCAACCATAAATTAAAGGAAGTGCAGATTGAGCAATACCAATGTTCAAGCAGTACATAGATGGTATCTCTAAATAGCTGACTTATAAACGAGGCTAAGCCTATGCAAATGAGTCTGTGGTCTTCAAAGTCAGCGGTATGCCTTGAATGCGAAGCTAAAGTTTGTACTTTTAGCATTACGTTTACCGCTGACCGCTAACTGCACTAACTTTTAAGGGTTCGTATTGTTGAAGGTGTGCATTCTTTGATGACCTTTATTTTGTCCCCTATAAAACAGCCCAAGAATGCACTACAACCCAGTTTTTCCCTCAACCTCGTAACTGATGACTATATTAGCGCCATAATGATTTAAATATCGTAATGCAAATCAGCCATGATCGAGGTCTTCCAGGGGGCAATAAATATTGAAATAGGAGGCAATCAAGCAGCTAAACTCTCCTGATTAGAATTGTTTTTGCCCCTTTTAGCAACCACGGCAACCACGTGAAGAATGTGCATTACAATATGAAAATATCATAACATCGATCGTTGATATATATCTAATAATGATAATCACCTAGTGTGAGAAAGGTCACGCGTAGTAGGGTATATCATGTATATACACCCCTGTGCATAGATATCTAATAATGATAATCACCTAGTGTGAGTAAGGTCACGTGTAGTAGGGTATATCATGTACACACACCCCTGTGCATAGATATCTAAT